TTATTATCTCTGTAAGTCCCTTCATCGTTCAAAACTAGGCCCCAAACTCTGAACCTCCTAGGAGCAAGGAGAGGGTGCGAGACCCCTGCCAGCTACCCCAACCACCGGGTACTTCCTGCATGGGTATCTGAGATACCGTGACATCCAGTCAGGGAACAAACAGACTGTCTTATCTGGTGGTGTATGTTTTTGTTTTTAAATACTCCATTCATTTAAAAGCAAATTTTCATGAGAAAACAAGGTTCTGGAACGAAACTTGACGTCGTTAAAGGACTTTACTCCTGGTCACCCAACTGATTCAAACTTTCCTCCCCCGAAAAAGGGTTAAGTACAAAACGGCATGTGCTACGTTTACAAGGCCAGTTCAAAAGCAGCCTGCAGGTGAAAGCAGGAGGAGGACTGATAAAGCGGTTTTCAAATATGGAACCACCTGCCCCACCCCACCCCCTCAGAGCAAAGTGTCCATTCACAGATTTTGAAACTTTAACATAACATTTTAAATAATTTTTGTTTGCGATGTATATTATTAGCTGATATATTTTCAGGTCATGAAAAACAAACGATTGTGGTGTTACACGCACTCTGTTTCTACACGTTTAGAAATAATCAGAATATCAAGGTATTTAAAACTCGTGACATTTTTCACAAAACTGACAAATGTTCCCTATTTACAGTAAATGGAAAGATGGGGCTACAGATTTACATCTACATACCTACTAAGGAACCAAGTTTTCTAATTTGGGGGAATCCAAATTTCCAGGTCTATGGGGTTATGCACTGGGCTGCGAGCCACAAGGTCAGCCATTCGAACCCACCAAGCGCTTTGCGGGAGAAAGACGAAGCTTTCTGTTCCCCACAATACTTACAGCCTCAGAAAACCAAAAGGGTAGTCCGCTCTGTGCCGCAGGGCTACTGCTATGAGGCAGAATCTAGTCCACAGCCGTGAGTTTGCTTTGGGGTTCCGAGCTGTAACTAAATGGTTTTGAGATGATCTCTGAATCTTAAACCCCGAGCTAGAACAGAATTCTGAAAAGTCACCTTACGTCAAACAATATTGTTATTGTGGGTTCAGACTCACAGCGACCTTCTGGACCCCAAAACAAAACGCTGCCGCCATGTGCTGTGCCGTCCTCACAATTGTTCTTGTTTGAACCCGTTGCTGCAGCCACTGTGTCCATCTAGCATGTCAACGGTCTTCGTATTTCTCACTGCCCCTCTATTTGACCAAGCTTAATGTCTTTCTCCAAGGACTGGTCTCTCCTGACAACATTTCCAAAGTCTATAAGAAGTCTCATCATCATTGCCTCTAAGGAGCATTCTGGCTCTATTTTCCCTGTGGAGTGAATGGCGTTTTGAGCCTCTGACCTTTCACAGTTAGCAGC